AAGATCAGAGACAACATGGGTTTACTTCAGGGAGATCATGCCAAACTAATCTTATTGATTTTTTGATTGGGTAACTAAAATTATAGATCAGGGTGGTGCAGTAGACATTGCTTACCTAGATTTTAGTAAGGCTTTTGACACTGTTGCACATAGAAGGCTTAAACTGCAATCTTTAAGTTTGGATTCAAATATTGTTGAATGGGTAAGGCAGTGGCTGAATGACAGGCAACAGAGGGTTGTAGTTAATGGAATATATTCGAAGCTTGGACTTGTCACCAGTGGGGTACCTCAGGGATCTGTACTTGGACCCATTCTCTTAATATTTTTATTAGTGATATTGCAGAAGGTCTTGATGGTAAGGTATGTCTTTTTGCTGATGATACTAAGATATGTAACAGGGTTGATGTTCCAGGAGGATAAGCCAAATGACAAATGATTTAGGTAAACTAGAAAAATGGTCAGAATTGTGGCAACTGACATTTAATGTGGATAAGTGCAAGATAATGCATCTTGGACGTAAAAACCCAAGGGCAGAGTACAGAATATTTGATAGAGTTCTAACCTCAACATGAGGAAAGGGATTTAGGGGTGATTATTTCTGATGACTTAAAGGTAGGCAGACAATGTAATAGAGCAGCAGGAAATGCTAGCAGAATGCTTGGTTGTATAGGGAGAGGAATTAGCAGTAGAAAGAGGGAGTGCTCATGCCATTGTACAGAGCACTGGTGAGACCTCACTTGGAGTATTGTACACAGTACTGGAGACCGTATCTTCAGAATGATATTGATACCTTAGAGAGGGTTCAGAGAAGGGCTACTAAACTGGTTCATGGATTGCGGGATAAAACTTACCAGGAAAGGTTAAAGGATCTTAACATGTATAGCTTGGAGGAAAGACGAGACAGGGGGGATATGATAGAAACATTTAAATATATAAGGGAATCAACAAAGTAAAGGAGGAGACTATATTTAAAAGAAGAAAAACTACCACAACAAGAGGACATAATCTTAAATTAGAGGGACAAAGGTTTAAAAATAATATCAGGAAGTATTACTTTACTGAGAGGGTAGTGGATGCATGGAATAGCCTTCCAGCTGAAGTGGTAGAGGTTAACACAGTTAAGGAGTTTAAGCATGCGTGGGATAGGCATAAGGCTATCCCAACTATAAGATAAGACTAGGGACTAATGAAAGTATTTAGAAAATTGGGCAGACTAGATGGGCCGAATGGTTCTTATCTGCCGTCACATTCTATGTTTCTATGTTCATAGGTGAAGATGGATTATTTTTTTGGCGCTCAGGTTTTTTCTTTTTCGTCATTTTTTTTTTTTGCGCTCTGGTTTTTTTTTTATTTTAAGTTCGATGATGGTTTTTTATTTGGCATTTTTGGGGGCTAAAAATGAAGATTTTAGAAAAAAGTGGCTGCTCACTGTTTACTAGACATGCCCCTACTCGCGGTATAGCGAGTAAGGGCAGATTATTTACTAATACCAAGTAATCTTTACTTAGTATTAGTAAATGTGGCTGAAAGTCTAATTGAGGTCTTTCAGCCTTTTGGAAGATAACTCCCTAATACCGTGGGAATTAGGGAGTTATCTACTAAGCAGCTGCAAGATGCAGCTGCGGCCCAAATTGAATCAGAATTTCATTTATTCGAAGGAAATTCCGATACGAACAAAGTGCCAAATTGAGTTCTAAAACAAACGAACATACTGTTCTCATTCAGTTAGAACGCAATTCGTCAGTTTCGTCTAAAATTACAGGGAGCATCGCGAGATCACAGAGGAAAGGTAAGAATTATGGGAAAATTGCTCTGACCAGCGGAAATGAAGCACACTTTGCTCCTCTGCTGGTCAAGCGGAGGAAACCTCCATAAGGCAAAGAGTCCCTACTTTGTCTTATGATTTTAAAGAAAACCGAAGAAGACAGGAAGAAAAGAAGAACAGATCCTGAGAGAGGGGGAGAAAAGGAAGATATTGAGGAAAGGTAGGTTTGGCATGACAGTGCCACTTTAACTCTCCCTCCACAACTGTATAAATTATAGAACTTTACTCAAAAAACTTCGAACTTGAGCAGGTTCCTCTTCAACCTATTGTTCCTGTATGTTTTTGGAATTGTCTCATTTGATGTTAAATCACCACCTCTTATAATATTGTGAAGCGCTTAAAGGACCACTCTAGGCACCCAGACCACTTCAGCTTAATGAAGTGGTCTGGGTGCCAGGTCCCTTTTTTTTTTATAAACATAGCAGTTTCAGAGAAACTGTTTATAAATGGGTTAATCCAGCCTCTAATGGCTGTCTCATTGACAGCCGCTAGAGGCGTTTGCGTTCTTCTCACAGTGAGAAGACGCCAGCGTCCATAGGAAAGCATTATAAATGCTTTCCTATGAGACTGGCTGAATGCGCGAGCAGCTCCTGCCGCGCATGCACATTCAGCCGAAGAGGAGGAGAGCTCCCTGCCCGGCGCTGGAAAAAAGGTAAGTGTTTAACCCCTTTCCTCTCCCCAGAGCCCGGCGGGAGGGGGCTCCTAAGGGTGGGGGCAGCCTCAGGGCACTATAGTGCCAGGAAAACGAGTATGTTTTCCTGGCACTATAGTGGTCCTTTAATAATAATAATAGTGAATTTTAAATAAAATGGCAACAAATATGATGGATAATTAGTTTGAGAAACGTTTTAGCAATTTCGTTTTCAATGAGCTCTTTAGTGAATACACCCCATTGAATGTGGAATATATTTATATAGCTGTTATATATAACTATATATAGCTACACCATAAACCTGGTTGGGTAATGATTATTACTATAGAGCAGCGAGCACGGTGAGCTTATAACTTGCAGCATGTAATCACTAGTCAGCGGATCACACACACAGTTTATTTCCGGAGCAAGACACGCTCACTTCCTTAACATGATGGCGGCGCCCATGTGAACCCGTGTCCCGCTTAGTCTCCTTATCACATCAGGGATGGCGGCGCCCATGTGGAGTCACCTGAAGGCAAGTCAGCGCCTTCCTCTGACAGGTACGCTGTCGATTTACTGCAGTTGAATGTATGTTCTAAATGAACCCGAAATGCCTTCATATAACATCGCAGTGCATCTCGGTGTGACCTCTACCACGGCCAGAACACTTCATAGCTCGTATTCCAATGGGAGATTCTGAAATTAATTGATCATTCCGCCTGGTGATGTCAGTGACCAGATATTTATACATTGAGCTGCTGTACTAACAGTTTTGGGTCGCGGATATTTATATAAACTCCTATTCTATGTTAATTTATAAACCCCCAAAATAGTAAATCGAGACTGGAACCCCAAATGGGAGGATATAGGGATTGTGAGATAAGAGTGTTACATTTGGAGTTACAAAATTGTGGTTTTTGATTTTACATATCAACTTGCTTCCCTGCAGCAGAAGGATGCATTGTGTGGCAAATCAATGCTGCCATTTCTTAGTATGTCATTCACATATACTATATATAATATATATATATATATATATATATATATATATATATATATATATATATATATATATCATACGTTCACATGAATCTCGGATTCTGCAAAATTGGTGTTTGCTTTTATTTGTTATATAAAAAGTGGTATTGCAATCATTATCTCTTAATTTAGCAGTGACAAGTTAACTTTTGCTTCAGTTTGGTTTGTGGAATTGTAGTCACATACTCCCTTTTTTTAATTGTTAGAACTACTTTGGAGAATAGGCGGACATTAATGCCACTTAAACTTTTTCCCACTTTTACCTTATTCTAAAATTCTCTTCTGTATTGCAATTTTTTGCTTTGTAGGTCTTTTGTCCCGCACACACTGGATTCCCGCTGCTGGCCTCCGGACTTTTGACATCCCTCCTGATTTTTCTGGTGAGATGTGAAGCAGAGGTTGTAAGATGGAGATTTAGATTTTTATATGCAAATCATGATATTACTTTTTTTTTTTTTTCCCCATTCTAGTGAAGTTTCTGTAATTTAGAGAAACCTATATTTGGAATAAATATGTATGCATACCTAATAGTGACATATTAGCCAGGCAGTTATATAACCTACACATATTCAATATGATTTTTATACATGGTGTTTAACCATCTCAACATCCCCCACAACCCCACCCCCACCCCCCCAACAGCCAAAACAGCAGTAAGACCTACCACAGGATCACAATATACAGAATAAAAATGAATGTTTGGTTTTTTTTAATTGCACTGTACTATAAAATTTCATAAAAATCTAATCGCAAAAAGACACTACATTAAATTGGCTATAAAGATACTAATGATAGTCAGACAATATATTAATTAAACTAGAAAAAAACACCATAATTATCACATGTATCAAATACATAGGGCAATAGTATAAATATAATGCATAGGTATATAGTTTAAAATGGACAGATGAGTTCTCATATACTAGAAAACAGTAGTGGAGTAGCTTTGTGTGTAACTAGTGCAGGTGTATATTTGTGTGTGTATATAAATACAAAGATGCAAGGCTAAAAATGTAAAATTTTAGGATACTAGTAGAGTGTAAAAGTTACTCGCTGGCCAATATTACAATTAGTTTAATTACATTCTCATCATGTGAGTTTGCACTTGAGGAATATAATCTTTATTATATATTTCAAAGGAGCATTATAGGGTCAGGAACACAAACATGTATTCCTGACCCTATAGTGTTAAAACCACTATCTGGCCCCTTTTACCTCCCAAAAGATAGTACAATCTTACTTGTATTCAAGTCTAAAGCTGCTGCCTCTGACATCATCAGAAGTGGTGGCCTTTTCCAATGACAATGCTTCCCCATAGGATTGGCTGAGACTGACAAAGAGGCAGATCTGGGGCAGAGCCAGCACAATTCAAACACAGCCCTGGCCAATCAGCATCTCCTCATAGAGATGAATTGAATAAGTGAATCTCTATGAGGAAAGTTCAGTGTCTGCGTGCAAAGGAGGAGATACTGAATGTTTGGATGCATTTTAGGCAGCCATGACCCAGGAAGGATCTCTGACAGCCATCTGGTGACTATAGTGTCCCTTTAAATGAAGTCTTACTGATGCAGTGTTAAATACTATATGCCACAAGGAGCACCCCTGCCAATGTTTACCTGCGCACAGTGGCTTCTAACAAAGTCAATTTCACAATACATGCTGTAACTCTTAGACTATTCACTCTGCTGTGGACATCAGCTGTGGACATCAGAGGAAGAAGTTGAAGGAACATGAATAAAAACAGAGGTGCAAAGCCAAAAGTCCGTAAGGATTGCTGTTCAAATACCTGAAGAGTGGAGTGGCTCTGTGTGCATCTAATACAGGGGTGCATTTGTGTGTAGACATATGTGTGTGAAGGGTTGCTGTTCCAATCCTTGAGTACCATGCGTTTCCAATACCAGAAAACTAGAGTGGAATGATTCTGTGTGTTAGTGTGGAGGAGAAGTTTGGACATATGCTTGCAATGTCCTCTTATCATGTGTGTGATCAGTCATATTTTGAGGGTCAACGTGTGTGATTGAATGCAGGAGTGAATTTGTAGGCCTAATGGCGATGTTTTCATTACAATTGAAAACCTACCTAAAGATGACTTTCATCCACATGTTTTGGTGATGATGGATTTATTTTAATGTTGCTGATCTTGTTATATGTGTTGATCTGAATATGTGAAGCCTCGGTAAGAACTGATCTATCTTCTGTCTGCAGGAGTCAGTCTGAAGGATCGTCCCAAACTTAAGTTTGTGAACAAGGTTCCTGACCTTGTAAAGGTTAAGAAGGAGCCTAAGAATCTGCGAGACATTCGTGGCCCTGCAACTGAGGGACGAGATTTCCAGGAGGGCGAGTATGGCATTGTGGTGAGAAATTTACATTCCATTCTTTTGTCAAACTCCTTTTCATGTTCTCATTAAAGGGAGACATGCCACTACCATTAAACAAAAAACATATTTAGTAGACCTACAACCAGTGGAAACAAATGCTTTTCTTTTCATTGTGGTTATATCTAAAAAGATTTATATAAAAGCCGCAGATGTCTTGTCTGCATCTCTGCAAGCTCTCCCTGTCTTTCCCAGCCAATAATTTATGTGGCAATCCAATCTCAGACTTCCCAAATTAGCTCAATGAGAAGACTTTCATAGCAGGTGCTTTGAGCAATTGCCTGTCTCTTCAGTTTGATTTTCATAGCTAAACAACCAGGAAGTGTCAGGACCAGTTGTCTACTTGACAGCAATGGAATGTAATAAGGTTAATTTATAAAAGTAATTATCACGTTAATGGGCACTCAGTCTCAATTCCAATAATTACTTTTACATTTATCTAGCACCAACATATTCCACAGCGCTGTACATTACATATGAAGCTACACATTTTCTAAGTGGAGGCCTCTTGTCTCTGCTAGGTCTGACTTTTGTTCTTTTCAGGGTAGGGACGTTGTATTATCAAGCTTGTCTTGCTTGCCAATGCAAAACATTTACTGTTGCTATGCTGTTTATATATTAGTGCACATACAATCAATACGTTTATGCTTATATGGAGGATTAAAAGTAAATAAATCATGGTAACTACTTAATTTGGCATTATCAGATTCTAGCAAAGTATGGTTGACCCCATAAAAAAAATGCACACATTTTGATATGTTGGTAGGCCATTTGGCCTGAATTTGTGGGAGGAGTTATGATCCTATATAAACCCTCCCCACTTACCTTTTTGTCATGCAAGCTGTTTGTCTTTTCCATAAGAACCAGCACTTCTGGTCCCTGGTTCCCGCCAAGTCAGTCTCCAGCAAGTCGTCCGTCATCAACATCTCCTGCCTCCATCTTCCGTGCCCGTCCACCGGCTTCCGGTCACGAGACCGGCACATCCTCGTAAGCATAACGTGGGAAATAGCGTTCGGCTATTTCCCACGTTTGGGCCTAAAAACGCGGGGATAGGCTCCCTTAATTACTTGCCTATTTGTGCAATTATGCTGTTCGTGTACTTCCGCGTTCGTGCAGCTAACAGCCGAACGCGGAATACACACGCTTTCGTTTAAATCAATTTACCGTACGTACATACTTACCCTACGTTCGTCTGTTCTTTCATGCATTCAAACAGCCGAACACTTTCAAACGGCTTTTCGTGCAACCTTTCGTTAATTTCCACGTTACAGCCTGCAGCTGATTATTCAATTTGCTTTCGTTTAAATCCTTTCGTATGTTCCATTTACCGAATGCAGGAGTTCTTTCTATTATAGTACTCTTGTTCATTCGTTTTACTGAACGCAAGGAGCTACAGTGTTTAAATGTAATCTACCGTAAATATATCTAGTTATGCATTTTTTAAACCAAGCACTTACATTATTTTTACTATACGATATTACGTTTTATTATATGGCTCTTAAAGTCACCACTGGTTAAAAAACGATGTGTTTCACAAATTCCCGTCCATGGTCACATAATTGTGGGACACCTATTTTTCACAGTGTAATCTTCTAAAAAGCACAGTTTGGCCACTTTATTTTTTATAAGTTACGTATAATACATACCTCCAGGCATTATTAACTAACCCTGAGGGGACTTAGTCTATTGTACTTTCACTAATGTATTAATCTGCTACGCATCTAAGGTCACTATGCCCATAGGTTAAGCCCGTACGATGCTTTGTCATTACAGACCATTAACATGATTTTAAACCCCCGTTCCTTAAATTACCTTATATATCAGTTCTTTACACTTAGACTGCATATGTTTTTAGGTTCTACTACTTTCCTCCAAACAGTCTTCAAGGAGTGGTATCCCAATATCCTGTATTATGGTATCAGGTAAGAAAGTTTACCAGTTCTCTTTTTCCATTGAGGCTTTCACGGCCTCATTTAGCCTCCACACCTCCCAAAGTGGGCTCCAAACTTCAAACGGACCAGGTCTGAGATTCCTCACTACGATTGGAACATCAATTACTCAAACCTACACCACATCGCTTCTTCTTATTTAACCATACATTTCTTGTATATTGTTTCTACATTTCTTCACTCAGACCTGTGTCTTCACCGCAGTTTCACTAAGTTACACGGCATCAACCACCAACAAGACTACCTGGTTCCCTGCATTTCAGTTTCAGGTATTGTAAATCTTACTCACTACGATTACGTTTCTTCTCAAGGCTTCACTTCGCCTTCGTATCATGTAAATATCACAATTATAGGAACCCCGGGGGCTTGTCTCTACTTACGGACCTACGTTCAGGTCCCTCATCATAAATGGGCTCATACGTTAAATTTCATTATTACACTTTACCCATACGTTTGACATTTTTACATTTGGCATACCAGAGGCACGCCTCAGGCCCTCTAGCATCTACATTACCCTTGGGATATCTTCACCGGACCCGTTCCCTGCGGAAGCAAATATATATCGAAATCCTCCTGAGCATTGACCAAAGAAATAGGACAATACTCAAAGTTGAGTATATATACACATACATTAAATTACACCATTCTAAGAGACAAGCCCCATCAGGCTAGTGAACTGGCATTTAGGGTTAGGCGCTGGCCTTGGCTAAGTAATACAATGGTCCCGCGAGGTCTACATCCCCGCCTCATACACGGAGGTTCAGCCCCACGACCAAATCATAGTTGGCCACCTCGCTTGCCCTTCTTTAGGGCTATAGCTAGGGCCACACGTTTTGAATCTCTTACGGTCCCCGAGAGGCCAACATCCTGCCACCTCATTCAAGTGGCCACAAAATTACCTTGGCCCAAATCATAGGTAGAGCCTCTCTCTGCCACTTGGCACTAGCAGGGCCTCACCTGTCACTATGGTCTAGTTAAATTCTTCACCTCGGCACTAGCTAGCAGGCCAGTTCTCCGAAGGTCTCATCCCCACCTCTACGACACCTTACTTATTCAAAGGTTACTTATTGGCCCTCACCAAACTTTCACTCCATACGTGTACACATGGCCCTCTACGGGCACTATGACAATTTTGACCCCACAGTTGTGCAATTACATACGTCAAATTTCTAATATGAGGGTCAAAGAAATACCTTTAATACTACATTCCAATATTACGCATGGCCTCGTTAAGCCCACGCAAGTCTTTTCCCCTCTCTTGGCACACGCCCAAGAACCTGGTACCTATCACTATGCATTTAACATAGAGGCATATGGTAGATTCTGATGCCGGATTTCACACGGGCCTTATTGCCAACCCCACATGTACACTCCTATGCCCTAAACTATTATCTACATCTATTGACCCACTTACGGTGGACCACCTTATGTCCACAGCAATCACACGCTGGTTTCACGATCGGTCCTTCCCAGCATTCACGTTTCTCATCTTGGTATACCAATTCCATCGGGGTAGCAATTCACAATACCAATAATACGTTTGATCATAGACCTCTTCCTCCATTCCCAGCATCAACTCGCTCATTCAGGCTGAGGAGTTCTCACTGCACTACGCAATCGACGATGCCATACAAGCTATGACTTCAGCATGTAGTAAGGCTTGGTTGAGCAAGACAGACTTATCAAACGCCTTTACTCCACTACCTATTCACCCTTCATTGTGGCACTTGCACAGTGTTAAAATGTAGGTATAAGTATTTTGCTACTTAGCCTACGTTTGGCTCTAGGAGCAGCCCTAAGTGTTTAACATCTTCACACAAATCCTCTGCTGGCCGCTCCTTATATACTCAGGTGTCCATCAGTTATCCACTATCTGGATGAATTTTTTTTTGTTTAACAGGTTCACAAACACCTATCAGTGTTCACACCACCACAGCCTCCTTTTCACGACACTCAGGGTCCCTCTGTCACCAGGCAGATACTCTGTCCCTCTGCCAGGCTTGCTTACTGGGGCATGGTTTTGGGAACGGTGTTGGCCTGTTCCTGCAGAGTGTTGCGCGCACCGGGAGGGGACTCCAGTCCTGATTGGGGTCCTCCTGCTCTGTGGGCGTATCATACCGCAGGGTGGGTCTCTTGTCCCTGGGCTACTTAAACTTGCTCCACAAAGTGCCAGCTCCTGTCCAACCATTCGGGACAATCCAGCCAGGGCAGTTTACACAATTGGAGTAGGTTTTTTGGCCGCATGAATTGGGATCTCTTCGTTCATTCCCCCACTTTCAAAACACTCACTTTCAATTCACACAAACGTAGCAGCACACACAGGGTTCGCAGCCATTTTCGGTAACCACTGGTTGGGGAGCTGTGGCCCACTGTCATGGATGCCTTGCCAGCCTTTAGAGAAACCTCTACTTTATTAGAGATCTACCCCATCGTGGTGGCCACCTTCACATGGGGTCCTCTTTGGACCGGCAAGGATGTTAAATACTGCTTTGACAACTCCGCAGCCTGCGATTTCATTAACAAGGGCAGTCATACTTGCTAACCACTGTGGCGTTTCGCAGGCTGATTAGGCAGGCAGCAACCTCTCAGTTCTTTCTAGTCTACATTTACATTCCTGGTGTCCACTACACAGCCACTGACGCTCTTGCACGCTCTAAATTTAAGGTCTTCTTTCAGGCACTCCCTACGACCCTCTACATACCACCATTACGTGAGCTAATCTTGGACTAAGCACACAATTACACCACGTAAGGGTACGCACGATTCACGCAGTTTCACGACTACTCTATCACTCACACCAAGGCCTTGTATATTGTACATGTCACAAGTAGTTTGCTTGAATCAAGACTTTTTGCAGTTTAAATTATGGTATTTTTTTGCCTTTTTCTCCAAACCTACAAATCAAGCACCTTACTTAAACCTCCTATGCGGTCACTCCGTTTTCTGTCTCCAAGGTCAACCACACACAATCAGTCCTAATCCACTACTTTGTCTAAACCTTCCATTTGGGTGAAGCTACATCATGGCTTCCTTCACTTGTCTCTCTGTCGCAAAGCGCTGCATCAGCAGCTTCAAGCTCTTACACCCCAGTCTACATCACTAAGTGATGGGGCCACAGGTAATCCTCAGCTTAGTTACAAATATACCTCAATCAGAGTAAAAGCTCCTTACAAGCTTTCAGTACCCAAGCTGTATTAACTTGCAATAAAGTGTGTTTTCTTTGAATCCTCTCTTGCCCTCTTTTATAGGCCTACTCATATGTTGGTTTCGGCACACCTCAACCAACTTTGCTTCTCCTTCTACATTCCGTTACGTATTAGATAAATTCCAAGCACAAGTTGGAAGGCCATTTGGCCTGAATTTGTGGGAGGAGTTATGATCCTATATAAACTCTACCCCCCCTACTTACCTTTGTCATGCAAGCTGTTTGTCCCCACCCACCTACACCCATCTATATTAAACAATTCACCTTTGTGGGCCCTCTTTTATAGGCTTACTCGTACGTTGGTTTCGGCACACCTAAACCAACTTTGCTTCCCCTTCTACATTCCATTACGTATTCGATAAATTCCGAGCACATATATATATCTCTATATATCTAGCTATATTTATATATCTATATATCTCAAAATACCAGAGTATTGCAGTATGCAGTGATACCTTTTTTATTGGACTAACGTAATATTTCAAAGACAAGCTCGTTACAGAGTTCCCATTTCTGCGGATAAGAAAGACATTGGGTTTGAGGAACCGATAGCTCTCATTAAAGTTTAGCAGATTTATCCTGCCTCATGACAGATTCATTCCTAATGAACCTTCTCAGTACATCAGGTGGGCACCAACTCCACACAGTATAATGAACCAGACATGTCCACTTCTCTTCTGTCTCAGGAGAACATCTCAGGCAGAGCAGCTGATACACTATTTGATTATCTATAAGAATTCAAAGATGGGAATGATTGCATATTCTCTGCTTAATTTTACCCAAGAAATTGCAGCACCTTGGTTATATTTATAAACCCCAGAACCATATTAAGGAGAGTAGCACAGATACAATAAGCAAAAGCCTTGTATAGCAGAGGCAATCCATTTTGCACATACAGTCCACTTTCTGCAAAACAATTCCACCCATAACTTGCAATTTTAATCAGAACAGATTTTCAAAGCAAAGATCAGCTAATCTTACCTTGAAAACCTCTGAGCCGTGTGGGGGGTTGGTGACAAGGGGAACCCTTCTGACAAGCTTCCTGCTGCCAGAGGGAACAGCACAGTGACGCACACTCGGCGGTTTCCCGGAAGTTCCAGTTCGTGCATGTGCAATTGCTCACCTGGAACTTCTGTGGAACGCAACACCTCCCGGGCGTGCGTTCCACCGCTGTGCGCAGGCGCACGGCCTGCAACATAATGAAGGCGTCCCCCAGCCCACCCATACTAACCAAGCCCAAACATTCTCAGCGCAAAGTTAAAAAGAAAGGGTTTCGGAACCTCCATGGACGGAGCCTTGCCGCTCCGCCTACCACCCGGGCGGCTATCGGGCTTCCACCCCCAGACAGCAACCTGTGTGCCTCACCTAAACATACGCTTGATCCGTCTCGTACTGGGACAAGAAAGAACTGAGGTGGGTTTGCCAGGGAAGCCCTTTTATAGTGTAAAGGGGGAGGGACTTTTCCCCGTTAGGAAGCACAACCCATACGTAATGCCACCATATGTCAGAAAAAAACTAAATACCAGAGAAGTACCCCAGCATTACTTCAAAGATCAAACAAAAATTGCCATTCACAAGTGTTAGTTTGTCAAAAATTAACATCTGGTAGAATGCAAAAAAAAAATGTAAAACCCTAAAAGCTGAATAGTTAGCTGGGCAGATACATCTGTAGACAGTGAAACCTCTCAGACTATTGTAATTTACAACATTTATTTTTTTATTATTCATTTAAGACTACTAATGCAGTGGACCACAAACTCACTTTAATACTTGACAATACATGTGTGTTATATATTTTTTTTATAATATCTTGAATTTACTACTTTTAGATTTTGTAACCGCTCTTATTTCTCTACTACAGGCGCTTGGTGGAGGTTACTTACATTGGGGTCACTTTGAGATGATGCGTCTGACATTAAACCGTACCCTCTCACCTCGTACTACCTTTAGCCGCTGGTTAGTAGTACCTCCCCACAAGCCTGTGACCCGAAAAGGACTTGGCCAACGCATGGGTGGTGGCAAAGGAGCCGTGGATCATTATGTCACCCCTGTTAAAACAGACCAACTTATTTTGGAAGTAGGAGGCCGTTGCGAGTTTGAGGAGGTTCTGCCAATATTGACCCAAGTAGCTAAAAAACTCCCTTTTCCAGCAAAGGCTGTGAGCAGAGAGACTCTGAAAATAGCCCGCTGTGAGCTTGAAGAGAGAGAATTAAGCAATCAAAACCCATGGACCTTTGAACGTTTGGCATCACGTAACATGCTGGGATGCAGGAAATGGTTAAGTCCATATGATCTTCGCTTCAAGGGCAAGTTTTGGGGAAAGCGCTTCCTACCAAACAGAGTTTAATGGCTATGTACCGTAACACAGAAAGTTTGGATGACAACTTTGTGCTGTTGTGATGCTATTGACCGTTTTTGTACTAAACAACTTACATCCTGCAAAACATGGTTTATTAGAACAAAGCAATTAAATAAATTCATTAATTTGCATGTTAGCATTTTAATTCAGTTTTCTTTTTAATAAACTGCAGGAAATTTATTTTTTATTTTTTTATTTTTACATCTTTCAATTCAATAACCTCAAATAATGTGAAGGAGTGACAGCAGTCTGGATCTTGGTGTAGTTTTTTGCTTTAGATCCATTTTGAAAGATTTTGTAGATTATTATGCACCTAACTTGTTGGAGGATTAATAAAAGAAAATAATCTTCTCCAACTTTACTTTTTCCCTGAGCGCTGTTATTCAAGTGATCCTGCTTTACCTGGTAACATGTTCTGAATGGTAAATGACATGCATGGTGATGCCATTGCAATGTGGATGAACTGCCTTGGAAAAAATATCTGGTAAAAGTTAATGTTCAATGAGTTATTTAAAGAGTACCTGGATTGGTACCTACAATTTAAAGGGTTACTCCAGCCAAAAACAAGTATTATTAAAACACTGTTTTTGAGTGTAATAAGCTTTACTGGCATGGTTCCCCTTGAAAAAAAGGAAGTAATTTATAAACTTCCCTGTAATCCCATAGCTAGTTCTCTTTGAAGTCCTCTCCTTGTCTGCTGATGTGAGTGACCCTCACTGTAGGTGGAAGGATATCCTGGAAGTCTTTGGCGGCCATTGTTAGTCTGTTGCCACATAATAAATTAATATTAGCCAACCCGGAACTTTCATTCCCAGGGATGGAGTTACACCTCTGTCAGCAAAGTTATTTAAAATGTGTGTCACTTATTATCCCCCCCTTCTTCTTTTGCCCTAACTAATCCTTCCCCAACCCTGCTTTAATGATTTCCAAGGTGTTGGCTGATTGAAATCTCTGCCCCATCCTTCTTGAGGAGAACTGTCGTAGATTTGCTTTGACCTGTAATGATGAAGCAACTCTGCCGAAAGTGACACATCTATCATTGGAGGAAGGTGAGTATTAAGCTGATAACCAATGACAAAGGACATGGAGCTAAACATAAGCTCCATCCTTTGTCAACTTGCAGGTTATACAGAGGTAAAAATAGTCCTTGTGTATAACTTTTTATTCACATTTTTTATTTGAATTTTAAATTTGCAATAGGAGAGGGATACAGAAATATAAAAGGGTCTGAAGGGTACAAGTCAGGTATTCCGACAATCTACATACATTGTACAGTACAAAAAATAGTGGATTGTACCTATCAGGCATGGTGGAAGGGTACAGAAAGAAAAATGGGGACTGATTCATATGTTTATTACTTCTGCTATATAACAGGAAGATAGAACACTGCAGGTAGACCTATTCATGAAGATTATGCGGGTGCTGCTTCGTATGTTTGACAGGGGTCACTGCTAAATCGAATATAGGTATAGTGTGAGCACTCCTATAATAAAGCTATTAATCAATATGATCAGTATAATAAGATAATATTTTAATTAATAAAAAGCATACACTCGAACTACAATCAGCTCTATATGGACTAAATGCTACTAGAACCACAGTCTAGATCCACCCAGGATATCTATAGCTGTAAAAAAAATAAAAAAATTAATTTAATATAAAATATGTATCTGAACCAAAATGGAAAAAGATACAAACTATACAGTAAAAGATATTATAGTAAAAGTATACTTTACTGTAATCCCAAGAAACAATCTGGGACAAGATCCACTATGTGGTGAGGGAGAGACCAAAGGAACCAAAATCAAACTTACATAAAAAAAAAAAAAAATTATAAACCATATGCAATAATTAATACACTCAAATCGGGCTAAGGAGATACCCGATATATAAAAAATATTAGAAGTGAATTGGTAATGAAATAAAAGTACTTATCCATGCCGGGGGCCCCTTCCACACAATCATAAAATGTAGTAGATAGTAAATCCCAAAGATCCGATATTCAGTTAATGGTTCAAGCCTTGTTTTCACTTCTCATTCTGTCCAAAGTCCATGATGTCATATCCGCTTCCTGGGTTGGGGTGTTTGCACATTCTATATTGAAGACTAGGAGTCCTTTATCTACAAACTGTCAGTGCACAGGGGTAATTTGTCAGATTATTTATTTTACCCGCTGTGTGCTTGTACCACTGTGTATAGGTGTCTGTTACATGTGTATTGCATTTTTTCTGCTTGTTCTCTGAGTTGTCATGAGCATGTTTTCAGATTTGAGAGAGATAAGGGAAGCCAAACTACAATCGTTATTGTACGATGTCAAGATCAAATTGATACTCTAGATGACTATTTTAAGAAATAAGAGACTCTTTTCTAGAGACAAAAAAATGGTGGGAGATATAATTTCTTGAATCCTACCTCAAAGAAGGAATAATCCCTAGACGGTTAAGACTGGACAAAAAGACCAGCCAATGGAACTAGAGATCAAAATGTATTCAACGCTGGGACACAGCGTTGGAAAGATGCTTAATGACACTCATGAAGATTATTGCTGATTATTTTTGAGAGAGACAATTAAAATGTGGTCTCTGCACAAATGGTAATATTGGCAGAGTCAAACTCTTTGGATTAAGATACAGCTGGATTTAAAAGAAGAGAGACAATTCTTTATGAAAGGATAGAAAAATTAGATGTTAGTATAGCTCAAATAAAACAATAAGAAATATAAAAAAGACAAAGCTAATAATTTCCATTCAACAAGAAATAACATTGAAAATAAATATAGACAAAGAGATAGTGGAAAGAACAATTAAATATTTTGATAGAGAAAGATTGACCCAGAAAGGAGGTCACCAAACTGTTAATCTATACAAATATCGTACTTTCACAGACAACCAACCCAAAATGCAGAGAATTTCTAAATCTAGGAATCATATTAGAGAACCTAATGATGTTGCCCAAATTGATAAAAATTCTACTTCGCCTCCTTGTCTCCCTCCTCCTGTCAGTAGTGTCCCTTCCTGTCAGCTAATAGAGGTTTTTTAGGAAAGGGGGAGACCAGAGAAGGGGAGAAATAACATGTCTTCCAGCAGAGGTCTCAAGAAATACATTTAAGCAAAAGATTTGCCCCTCTGAGGGAATGGAACATTTCGGGGAAGAGAAGGAGGATAAGTGACGAGGTGATGGGAGTATTAATGCTCAATACATTAAAAGAAAAAAGATTAGGTGTTTTAATATTTCTAATAAAGTTTTAACATCCCCAAAAAATTTACTTCCAAGCAAAGGGTTGACATTTGTTCCAAATGAATCACCTAATTTGTTTTCATTTGTTTGTCGATGCCCAAAAATTTGTAAGAAAAATGTGTATTAAAAGATTTTTTATTAAAAAAACAAATGAAGGCTACCTAAACAATTCATATAATGAAAACACTACAAAAGATTTACAAAGATTTAAACTAAATCCAAATTTTGTCCTAACGAGAAAGTAGGTCAAATCGAAATATTTACTAAGATGATAATCAGGGATTTTGAAAAAATTAGAAAGGAGTTTTAGTAGGGTGAGAAAAGTAAGAATGTAACAAAGTGAGACAGCAAAAGGTTGAAAAATCGCAAAAATAGAAAAGATTTAATCATCAAAAATGCAGATAAGAGAGGCATAATGGTTACGGCAATAGAGGATTATCTGACAGAATCTTATAGACTGTTGGGTGATAACCATACCTATGTCAAATTAAAAAATAACCTTAATTTTAAATTTAATTTAAAATTGAAAATTATTAAATAATGCAAAAAAGGCTGGCATTATACAGGGAGTGCAGAATTATTAGGCAAATGAGTATTTTGACCACATCATCCTCTTTATGCATGTTGTCTTACTCCAAGCTGTATAGGCTCGAAAGCCTACTACCAATTAAGCATAATAGGTGATGTGCATCTCTGTAATGAGAAGGGGTGTGGTCTAATGACATCAACACTCTATATCAGGTGTGCATAATTATTAGGCAACTTCCTTTCCTTTGGCAAAATGGGTCAAAAGAAGGACTTGACAGGCTCAGAAAAGTCAAAAATAGTGAGATATCTTGCAGAGGGATGCAGCACTCTTAAAATTGCAAAGCTTCTGAAGCGCGATCATCGAACAATCAAGCGTTTCATTCAAAATAGTCAACAGGGTCGCAAGAAGCGTGTGGAAAAACCAAGGCGCAAAATAACTGCCTATGAACTGAGAAAAGTCAAGCGTGCAGCTGCCACGATGCCACTTGCCACCAGTTTGGCCATACTTCAGAGCTGCAACATCACTGGAGTGCCCAAAAGCACAAGGTGTGCAATACTCAGAGACATGGCCAAGGTAAGAAAGGCTGAAAGACGACCACCACTGAACAAGACACACAAGCTGAAACGTCAAGACTGGGCCAAGAAATATCTCAAGACTGATTTTTCTGGTTTTATGGACTGATGAAATGAGAGTGAGTCTTGATGGGCCAGATGGATGGGCCCGTGGCTGGATTGGTAAAGGGTAGAGAGCTCCAGTCCGACTCAGACGCCAGCAAGGTGGAGGTGGAGTACTGGTTTGGGCTGGTATCATCAAAGATGAGCTTGTGGGCCTTTTCGGGTTGAGGATGGAGTCAAGCTCAACTCCCAGTCCTACTGCCAGTTCCTGGAAGACACCTTCTTCAAGCAGTGGTAGAGGAAGAAGTCTGCATCCTTCAAGAAAAACATGATTTTCATGCAGGAAAATGCTCCATCACACGCGTCCAAGTACTCCACAGCGTGGCTGGCAAGAAAGGGTATAAAAGAAGAAAATCTAATGACATGGCCTCCTTGTTCACCTGATCTGAACCCCATTGAGAACCTGTGGTCCATCATCAAATGTGAGATTTACAAGGAGGGAAAACAGTACACCTCTCTGAACAGTGTCTGGGAGGCTGTGGTTGCTGCTGCACGCAATGTTGATGGTGAACAGATCAAAACACTGACAGAATCCATGGATGGCAGGCTTTTGAGTGTCCTTGCAAAGAAAGGTGGCTATATTGGTCACTGATTTGTTTTTGTTTTGTTTTGAATGTCAGAAATGTATATTTGTGAATGTTGAGATGTTATATTGGTTTCACTGGTAATAATAAATAATTGAAATGGGTATATATTTGTTTTTGTTAAGTTGCCTAATAATTATGCACAGTAATAGTCACCTGCACACACAGATATCCCCCTAACATAGCTATAACTAAACACAAACTAAAAACTACTTCCAAAAATATTCAGCTTTGATATTAAAGAGTTTTTTGGGTTCATTGAGAACATGGTTGTTGTTCAATAATAAAATGAATCCTCAAAAATACAACTTGCCTAATAATTCTGCACTCCCTGTAGATGAGAGAATTAATATATTTCTTTTTTCAGAGTTCCAGAAGGTACCGATCTTTTAGTTCCTTATCACTAGTTTTTACCACTAAGATTAGTTTGACAGAAATTTACTTTCTGGATTTTTTACAACTATAGATTCTAACAGCTTTATCGATACTAAAAGTAGCCATCATCCGGATTGGCTTAAAGGAGTTCTAAAGAGCCAATTTTTTAGAAAAAGGACATTGACAATTAAGTTTTATCACATTTTTATCCAATAAAATATTGCCTCCTTTTTTAAAATTTTTATAATTCAAAATTTAATATTTTTTAAATCTAATTTGTGTATTTTTTACATTTATTAATCCATGTTCTTCTCAATTGAGTATTAACACCTACCATTTTCTAGATTTAAATACACGAATATTAGTTTGCTACATGCTAATCTTTTACTTTTCTGTTATGTTTATCTTTGTATTTTTACTGGTGGACAATTTGGACATTTATTATTATTATTATTATTGCTATTTATATAGCGCCAACAGATTCCATAGCGCTTTACAATATTATAAGAGAGGGGATTTAGCTATAAATAGGACAATTACAAGAAAACTTACAGGAACGATCGGTTGAAGAGGACCCTGCTCAAACAAGCTTACAGTCTAGGAGGTGGGGTGTAAAACTCAATAGGACGGGGAATAGCAATCAAAATAGGTGGGGGTGAAGCAGAGCTGGAGGAGAGAGTAGAGTGCTACCCTTTAGGAGAGAGCAAGAAACAGGTATGTGAGGTAGAGATTACTCTTGAAGGCCCTAGGCTTTCCTAAAAAGATGGGTTTTAAGGCACTTCTTAAACGATTGAAGACTAGCGGAGAGTCTGATGGCAGTAGGCAGACTGTTCCATAGGAAGGGAGCCGCCTGCGAGAAGTCCTTCAAGCGTGAATTGGCTGTACTGGTGCGAGCAGCGGACAGGAGAAGGTCACGGACAGAGTGGAGAGACCAAGAAAGGGCATACCTATGGATCTATGAAGATATATAAGATGGGCTAGAATTGGTATTCAATGCTTTATAGGTATGGGTTAGCATTTTGAATTGACTCCTATTGGATACAGGAAGCCAATGTAACCACTGACAAAGGGGTGATGTGTGAGAGGACTGACTAGAGAGGAAAATCAGTCTGACGGCAGCATTCATTACAGACTTTAGCGGGGCAATACGGTTTTTGGGAAGACCAATTAGGAGAGGGTTACAATAATCCATGCTTGAAATTACTACAGCATGGACAAGCTCTTTGGTACCATCTTGTGTAAGAAAGGGGCAGATGTTTTTTTTAAGATGGATTATACAGGATTTGGTAACATGCTGGATGTGAGGCTCAAAGGTGGGGCTAGAATCAAATATGACACCAAGACAGCGCGCTTGCAAGGATGGACTGATGTGGATACCACTGACTTGAAGGGAGAGTGAAAGAAGAGGATCAGTATTAGGAGGAGGAAAGACAAGGAGTTCAGTTTTAAAAAGCGGGAGGACATCCAGTCAGAGATGGAAGAAAGGCAAGCAGTGACAAGTTGCAGGACGGTAGGAGAGAGGTCCAGGGAGTAGAGATATATCTGGGTGTCATCAGCGTACAGGTGGTAGTGGAATCCAGTAGAGGTAATACGTTTGCCAAGAGAGTGTCAGGATCGTATCCTGACAACTATGTTTTATCTTCATTTATTTATGTTCCTTTAAAAGAAGTTCCAGCTCTCCACCACTAGTGGCCTCCCTAACCACTAGTCACCTCAGTCCTCACCTGCCTAGGACTAAATACAGATGCTACAAAAGGCCACACCCGAGAATACCAGTGGCCTTTACAACTGAAGTTGATGTTCATACCAAGGACTTCAGATCCTGGCTCCTGTGAGAGATCCTGTAACTTACCTGCATTGCATCCTACCTGCATTGCTACCACCCCTACTCCTTGCTAACTTGGATTACTACAACTCTACTACTCTACATTATCCTGCCTACCTGATTTATACAACCCTGCTTCATACCAACCTGGATAACCTACATCTCTTCTTTAACCTGCCTACCTGATTTATACAACCCTGCTTCATACCAACCTGGATAACCTACATTTCTTCTTTAACCTGCCTACCTGATTTATACAACCCTGCAAATTCATTATCTGGACATTGCTGAACACAACTATTAACAAGGTGTTATTTATCACCTGTCTTATTATTCTTCCTATACTTTTATCTAAATTTATTATTTGCACACTTGTTTGTTTTCTATTTAGGGCATATTGCCTTAACGTTTATTTTTCCTTTCCTTCACCTTATTATTTATTCTACAAGTTAACCTGCTGTTATGTCAAAACCTGCAAATAAAGCCTCTTTTGTACCGAACATTACGATATTTGGACCCAGAACCCGAGCCCGGACATTTCAGTGACAGTTCGGGTCCCAGTTCGGTGTTTCTGCAAATTAAAGGCGTGTTTTGAAAAGCTGCAGGGCAGCCAATCAACAAGCGTTTGACTCGTGTGCCCTTAGAAGCCATCACAGCCATGCCTACTAATGGCATGGCTGTGATCGGCCAGTGCAGCATGTGACCCAGCCTCTATATAAGCTGGAGTCACATGAGCTCTTATTAGTATAGGGAGAGGATGCTGCAGCTGTGAGGGACAGATTAAGAAAGAATTCTGGTGTTGAATCTGCAAACTACAGCGATTATTTTTGTGGGTGCTATACTACATTTTTGTACCCTGCCCTGAGCCCAGTGCCATAGAGAAATAAGCAATCAGTCTGTTTGTTAGGTGGGCACTTGCAACTGCATGTGTGCCAGGCACATTACTTTAAGCCTGTTCTGGTAGCTCAGTGGGCAACATCTAGTCATTTTTAAATACTGCTGCTAACATTGCAGTTTGACAAATTCAAATTTTTCTGGTGCTAAAAAGTAAATTTGTGGCGTGCACTTCTTATCTGAGAGTCAAATAGAACCGTCAAATACTGCTGTGACATTGCAGTTTGACTAATTCACATTTTTTTGGTGCTAAAAAGTAAATTTGTGGCGTGCACTTCATATCTGAGAGTCAAATAGAACCGTCAAATAGAACCGTCAAATACTGTGGTTACATTGCACTTTTAAAAATTCTAATTTATTTGGTGCTAAAAAGTAAATTTGTGGCGTGCACTTCATATCTGAGAGTCAAACAGAACCGTCAAATACTGTGGTTACATCGCACTTTGAAAAATTCACATTTCTTTGGTTCTAAAAAGTACATTTGTGGCGTGCACTTCATATCTGAGAGTCAAATAGAACCGTCAAATACTGCTGTGACATTGCAGTTTGATTAATTCACATTTTTTATGGTGCTAAAAAGTACATTTGTGGCGTGCACTTCATGTCTGAGAGTCAAATAGAACCGTCAAATACTGTGGTTACAATGCCAACATTTCAAAATTCCTGACCTTTGAAATGCTGTCATTCCGTCTGGTAGAGACGGACAGTTTTAAAAACCTGATGGCTGTCCAGCAGTACATGGTTCCCAGCCGCCACTACTTTTCAAGGCGAGCCATCCCTTCCCTGCACAACCAATTGGCGGACAAAATCAGGTGTGCACTGTGGCAAGGTGGCAAGGTCCACATAACCACTGATACGTGGACCAGTAAACACGGGCAGGGACGCTATATCTCCCAAACTGCACACTTGGCAAATCTAGTGGCGGCTGGGCCTGAGGCAGATAGCAGTTTGGTGCATGTCCTTCCGCCACCGAGGATTGCAGGGCATTTCTCCTTGCCTCCTGTTGCCTCTTTCTTTTACTCCGCTTCCTCCTCCTCTACCACCTCCTCATCCAGTAACACCTTCATCACCAACTTCAGCACAGCCAGGGGGAAACGACAGCATGCTGTTTTAAAACTCATATGTTTGGGGGAAAAACCCCACACCGCGCAGGAGCTGTGGATGGGCATGGAACAACAGACTGATAGTTGTTGCCACTGAGCCTCAAGCCCGGCCTGGTGGTGTGCAAAATCTTGTAGCAGCTCTGGGCCTAGCCGGTTTGACGCACATCCCTTGCTTGGCACATGTGCTGAATTTGGTGGTGCAGAAATTCCTGAAAAACTACCCAGATATATCAGAGCTGCTGCAGAAATTGCAGGCCAACTGTGCGCGTTTTCGGCGTTCTCACCCTGCTGCTGCTTGCCTGTCTGCGCTGCAACGTAACTTCGGCCTTCCCGCTCACTACCTCATATGCGACGTGCCCACAAGGTGGAACTCCACCTTGCACATGCTGGAGAGACTGTAGCAGACGATGGTGGAGTTTCAGCTGCAGCATGCACAAATCAGTCGCTCTGCACCAGACTTGCCCTCCAATAGATCCTCGTTAAAGGATTTAAAGTGTACTCCACTGGCCTCGAAAGAGTCCTGTATTGTTATTTATCATCACTACCTCCCCGCGTTGGGAGTGGGTAATCTGCGCACCTGCTGCCTTCCTTGGATGTGGTAGCCTTTTCTCAGGCTCCCTCTCCAGAATTAAAACCCTGATTCCCCGTTACCAGTGGTCACCATGGTAGGCGCAGAAAGTACCATTGAAAGTTGATAGGGCAGACATCCGAATGCGTAGTCGCCGTCACAGGGACGTTCGATCGGCCTGAGGTTATCTAGCGTCACCAAAGAGCCTGTGCAACGACTGCCGAGTTGCCCACATTCTAACTTGTGCTGATTACTGGGTGGCCAGCCTGCTGGATCCCCATTACAAGAACAACGTGCCGTCCTTAATTCTCTCACTGGAGCGTGGTCGGAAGATGCGTGACTACAAGCGCACACTGGTAGACGCGCTGCTAAGGGCATTCCCAACTGACACCGGGGGCTCTGTGGAAGCACAAGGCGAAGGCATAGGAGGAGAGAGAGGTCGCCAATGCAGCTGGGGCACCACCAGCACCTCAGAAGGCAGGGTTAGCATGGCCGAAATGTGGGAAAGCTTTGTCAGCATGCCACAACAACCAGCACCACCAGCTGATATGGAACGTCTTAGCAGGAGGCAGCATTTCAGCAACATGGTGGAACAGTACGTATGCATACGCCTGCATGTACTGACTGATGGGTCTGCCCCATTGAATTTCTGGGTCTTCAAATTGGGCACATGGCCTGAGCTTGCCCTTTATGCCTTGGAGGTGCTGGCCTGCCCTGTAGCCTGTGTATTGTCTGAACGTGTGTTTAGCACGGCAGGGGGCGTTATCACAGACAAGCGCAACCGCCTGTCCACAGCCAACGTGGACAAGCTCACGTTTATTAAAATGAAACAGGCATGGATTCCACCAGACTTGTCTATACATTGTGCAGAATAGACATTTATACCGGCCTCACCCAGCCATTGTTATACTCAAGTGCACTTATTCTTTGTTTTCTTTTTTTTTATGTCCCAATATTTTGGGGGCTGCCCCAATTGTTTGCAGGGCACTTGTCCTACTCTTACCCCCATTTTACTTCCTTTTGCAGCCCTCTAGCCCTTTCCAGGACTTTTTTAGAGCCATTTTAGTGCCCAAAAGTTTGGTTCCCCATTGACTTCAATGAAGTTCGGGTTCGGGGTCAAGTTCGAAGCTGAGCCCGAACTTTTTGCCGATGTTCGGCAAACCCGAACATCCAGGTGTCCGCTCATCTCTACTTTTTTGTTAACTCTGGCCAAAGCCTCCTATGTGACCTGAACAAGATCATGACAGAGAGGCATTATAAAGAGAAAATAGAAGGTGACCAAGGACAAAGCCTTGTTGGACTCCAACAGAGACAGGATGAATGGAGGATGTATCATTAGAAAAGGAGACACTGAATGAGCGTTGGGAGAGATAGGATGAAAACCAAGAGAGGACAGTGTCACAGAGAACGAATGATTGTAGAGTTTGAAGAAGGAGAGCATGGTCAATGGTGTCAAAGGCAGCAGAGAGGTCAAGAAGTATTAGTATGGAGTAGTGGCATTTTAATACCCATTATTTATACCCATTACAAGGCTCAAACGCATACCAGGAAGCGGGTATGACGTCACAGACTTTGGACGGAATGGGAAGTGAAAACAAGGCTTGAACCGCAAGTCCATGAGCGATCAACTTCTGCTGAATTAGCTCCACGTGGATTGGCTGATGGCAACCCGAGGGAGTCGTCTGATCATTTTAAAAAGCGGCCCACTAACTATTTGAAAATCCTTCTCTATGAGGAAAGGAACTTTGCCCCTTTGCGTCTGAAGAAGTTCTTGACAACCGTTTATTTAATATGTAAGAGTTTTCCATCTTTATGTTTTTTGTTTATTTTTATTTTGACTTCACTGGCTATTACATTTTGTGCTTAAAGAAGAGTTTTACCCCGTGCCTTGGTGACATCGCTGAAATCCTCTTTTCTTATTGCACTGATTGAAAGATTGTGATGTGCTCATTTTTTTGTTTTTATCCTGTAAGTACAACGTGTATTAAATTTTAAATTAAATATAGAAACTCTGCACTATTATTCTTTCCTTTCCTCCCACATGTCCTGATGTCGATACAAAGACTTATATTACTATATTGATATGCCTACAATCAATTTAGGTTTGTGAGTGAATTTTCATTTTCTTTCACTTCACTCTATTTGCATACAATATTGCCATATGTTTGTTTGTTATATTTCTTTGTATTTTAGATAACCTTTTTGGAGTTTGTGCAGTTCCACCGTATGTGTGTCATGGTGCCCTCTGCCTTCCCACAAAGCCAACAAATGCTGGATACCGCAGGGTAAATTTTGTGTAGTTTGTTGGGGGTGAGGTACCATCTATAAACCAGTTTCCTACGTGCCTCTACATGCCAGTAGGAGTGTGTAAGACCTTTAAGTGTGTTTAAGGAGGAGACCCATTCCTGCTTCGTTAGAGCTGGCCGCTCTCATTAGCCCAACCGTTCCCAAAGGAGAATTTCGTTTTCAGGGCTAGATCAGATAATACCTTATGGGACATCTGATATTTGTACTTGTGTTGTAATGGTGCTTTTGATCTGCAAGTAATAAAAGATAAAGGAGTTGGTTAAGCTATATAACATTTGTTGATCTGGGAAGGGTATGATAAAACCTTGGTGACAATGCCAATGCTTTTGATTCCCTGCATACTCCAGGATTGTAGAGTGAGCCAGGGTGAAAGCCTTTAACTGCTGTTATTGGGGTGTAAACATGGAATTTGTGGTGGCCACCACCCATTGATCAAATATTATCCCACTGATATATAGAAATGACAGTGGTAGGGAACAGCTGCACCAGTTTGTGGCGCAAGTGTTCGGGGGTCCATAAAAAATCAATAAGTGAGCAACTTGGGGCTCTGACGTTTTTCATATCCACCCAGTGCAGGGTACCCTTCTGCACATACATTTTAATAGCAGCTTGTAAAAGATAAGCCTTATGGTAAGTGTTGAGCTTAGGGAGATCTACAACTCTTTGATTCAAGCGTTTCTGAAGGAGGGAAAATGGGAGTCTTGGTCTGCGGGAATCCCAGATAAAGGTTTTAATGACAGATTACAATTGCTTGGAAAGGGATGCGGGGATCTGCATAGGCAGCATCCTAAAAGTATATAAAAGCTTTGAGAGTATTACCATTTTCTTCATGTTATCTCTTCCTAGCCAAGAAAGCTTAACCAACTTCCACTTCTGGATGTCTGTTTTGCATAGTTGAAGTAGGGGTTTGTAGTTGAGATTGTGAATGCCTGCTAAGAAACATGCTAGTTTAATTCCCAGTGCCCTCCAGTCAAACTGGTACTTCTGATGAAGGCTTAGTACCACCTGCGTGGTTAAGCCTATTGGGAGAGCTTGGGTTTTGGCCTGGTTAAGTTTATAAAATGACAGGGAACATATTCTTGTAAGAGGTGTAACAGAACTGGCACAGAGGAGATTGATTTACCCTGAGTCAGAAGGAATTTTTTCCTAGTTTGTGGCAAAATTGGAAGCGCTTAAAACTAGTGTTTTTGCCTTTTTTTGGATCAACAGCAACAACATATGTGAGGAAGGCTGAACTTGAAGTCTCTTTTCAGCTATGTAACTATGTAACTATGTAACTTGATAAACGGGTTGTCTGTTTAAAATATAACCGCCCATAAATGTGCTTTTTTGTGTCCTTTTGCAGGTAAAAAAAGCAGGCAAATATGATTTTTTTTCTTCATCTTGCCTCATTATGCTTGCATTTTCCACACTCCCTCCAGAGGGCACACCATTCTAACCAATTAGTGTCCTATCCCTAGGATAGTCAAATTGCACATGCTGCGTGATTTAGTGATGCATACGCAATTTAAATATATTGCAACGTCACTGATTATGTCCTAATATGCAGTTGATGTAGACGCATATAACACATGTTCTCGGCAGGGCCAGATTAAGAACCCAGTGGGCCTGGTGCTGACAATTATGATGGGCCTAATTACATAATCTTATTGTCCAAAAACATTAAAACAATCATACCTCCCAAGCATCATGTATCTGATGGAGATGGTGTTGGAAGGAAACTCAAAGGATGCAGCTAAAAGAAAATACATACTCATTACTTAAAACTACAATACTTTATTAAACCTTATAACCTCTTTTTTTCCCCTTATCTATTAATATTCCTTAAGGGGTATCAACCTTACTAAAGAGGAAAAATAAGAGGAGGGGAAACCCAACAAATCTTTATATACAAAAATAAAAGAAGAATAACCTCATTCATACCACCATTCACACCATACCTTCCAGCTATGTCAGTCATCTTTATTGCTTTCGTGGGAAATAATGTCTATTTCATTCTTATTCCTCTAGGGCTTATTGATTGTCTATTGTCAATTCCCGCTCCTGTTGCTCCAATATTTTTAGCCAATTTGCCCATTTATCATACTCCTTATATTGAGTTTTAATTTTATTCAGCCCTGTTTCCATTTGAATCTGGTATTTTAGTTGTTGAGTGAGCTGTAGCTTATTGAACGGCTGTGTCTTTTTCCAATTCCTGGTAATGATAATATTTGCCGCTACCCAACAGTGTGTTCTCAGTACTTGTTTCATTTTCCTAAGAAGAGGCCATCTTAATTGCAACAACATAATGTCTGGTCTAACTTTTATTTTGATATGGGGATTACATTTTTACAACTCCACCAAATGTGAAGATAATCCCCTTGATTCTCCACATCTCCAACATAAGTCGTTATTATCGTGTAACATTCTGGACATTTTTGAAGGTACTAAATACCATTTATTGATTACTTTGTAGAGTGTTTCAACTAAAGAAAGGCTGTGGACATATTTATTTATTTTGATTATTGCTTCATACCATTCTTCTAAATCTATGGGGCAGTTCAGGGCTTTTTCACAACTTTTTATTGCCGTTGTTTATTCTTCAAATAATTCTTGACTTTTAAGTATGAGAAAGCCTCTCGATTTGGAAGGGACGTTGTCCTTATTAATATGTCAAAGGTCTTTAAGTCATTATTCGTTACTAAATCTTCCACCTTTATAATATTTACATCCAGGCTTTTAGAGAAATATTTATTATATCCGTTTCAAGACAATCTATACTTTGAAAACCCAAGATCTTATTCTTAATATCTATTTTATTTTTTATTTTTTCCCATATGGGAATTATTTGGTTCAACACAAATGATAATGAGTAATCACAAACTTTGTTATTCCATATAATATTGGGTAAATTTTTGGTTTGGCATAGATCTAATTATATCCTACACCATGCCTCCTTTGGGTATATCTCTTTTTGCAACATTGCAATATGATAGATTATCCAAGCTTCATAATATCTTTCGATGTTCGGG